TGGGAAATATTCAATGTCCATAACCTATTGTAGCCCATTTCTACCATGTAAGGGGAAAGATCATATTTTGTTAACTCATAATTACTTTGAAATAAGAATGCTCTTTTGTCATTGTGACTTGTGCCATAATTATTATATTTATTTATATTTCTTTTTTTTTCTTTTTTTAGATCATTAGTTACGTTGTTAATTTTAACTTTTTATATCAATTATGATGACATGATATAACTATTTACCAAAGTGTGTGTGTGTGTGTGTATATATATATATATATATATATATATATTATGTGGAGGAAATAAACTTCCATAGTAACCTGAAGTGGCGTTAATTAGATTTTTTTTTTTTTTTCATGTCAGGAGCTGCTGGATTATGAGGTGGACAGTGATGAAGAGTGGGAGGAGGAGGAGCCGGGAGAGTCTCTATCACACAGTGAGGGGGTGAGTGATCAAACAACACTATTTCTACATTTCTATAGTGACAAATTAGCCACTACAGAAGCCATGCAGATCACCAGTAAAAATTCACACCAAAATTTGAATATAATGGTGACTTTAATCCTGCTTTTCCCTTCAGGATGACGATGATGAAGGAGGAGATGATGACGATGATGATGATGGGTTCTTTGTGCCCCACGGTTATCTGTCAGATGGGGAAGGAGCACTTGAAGACGAGGTTAGTGGAACGTCACCCTCCCTCCATCGCCTCATTCAGTCACGTCACGACACTAACAGTCTGCTCTTGCAGGAGGGTGGAGATCCGGAGAAGCAGAAGGTGCGTCAAAGGATGAAGGCTCGTGAATGGGAGACTGAGCTGATGTCTAAAGGGAGGATGAAGGTGTTGGAGGCGGTGGTGCGCGGCTGCCTATGGGAGGGGGAACAGCCTTCACTGGACCTCCTGAAGCCGTACGCTGTCTGTATGCTGAAGCCTTTACCTAAAGACGACCCCTGCACCCCTGAACAGGACATCTCACGCCAACAGAGGAGCGAGAAACGTGAGTACAATGTGTGCTTAACTTCTGAATATTTTGGATATATTTATGCTATATTATATTCAAGTTTTCTCATCTGCTGTCCATGTTGCTTTACTAAACATTACAGTGTCTTAATTTGTTGGACTGTTTTTTTCAAATCGAATCATCTATATATTGTTAAACTCTATATGAGACTCTACAAGCACTGTTTGTGAGAGATCATCACAATGCAAATGCAATGAAGTGCGCACACTGCATTAACAGCCACTTTCAGCGTCGTTAATACACAAAGCCAAGCCTAAAGCTCTATTCATTCTATGAGAGGTGGAGCAAAGTCATGCAAAACAGCAGTGAAAATTCACACCAAAAAAAATGGGTGCACTGCCTTCAGTACCATAATACTGTTGCACATTGCTGGTTCTCCTGAGTGTGATTTAAATTATCCAGTGGTTGTTGATGTGTTTTTCACTTTTCTTCAGTGCTGTCACGGCTACTGCCTCTGCTTCATGGTAATGTGAACAGCAGTAAGGTCATAATCAACGAGTTCCTAGAGGTGTGTCGCCAGCAAACATCCTCACCCACAGAAAGCTCTTTGAATTGTATTGACAGCGTCCCACCCAGGTAACCCTGCTAACTGTATCTTTAATATCAGTCATTATGCAAAACAATTTCCATAGAGTACCACAAGGTTGGTGTAATTTTGTTGGCCAACCAGGAAATTAGCATTACCCTTGTTCCTCCAAAAAGCCATTAGGATTTTAGGAATATAATCTTGGCTGTGTGACGAACAAAAGTTTATGGTTCTTACACGTTTTGTTCATCATGAAAATCCTTTTCAAATTAACGTTTTTTTAGCCTAAATACAAAAAAGCTTTGAAAGAGTATGATTTATAAACACCACAAGGCAAGTAGATGAGTTTTTTGATGAATATTAATGTCCCTGGCTGCCTGTTGTCCCATTTAGTCACTTTCAAGACATTAACAGGCTTACAGAAATCAGCGGGGGTGTTATAGTAATGAATAATGTGTGAAAATATCTTTTGTAAACCACAGACCTTATTTTAGGCATTTATCCAAAAGTCCATTCAAAACACACATTAGCTGCTTTCCCACCATCTAGCAACCAATGAGAATGGTTTGGCTTGTTGGTGGAAAAGTGGCTATTGACTTCACTATCACATGTGCTAAAATGCTACTTTGTTTTAGGGTTTTACAACTCATTTGACTCGTATAGCACTCTATTGTTATTCCTTTTGGGAAAAAAAAATGTGTATTTCTATGTAAACTGGATGACTCATGCCTAATGCCTGGAAACATTGTCATTGAAAATGACTTCCAGTTGCTCTCTGGGGGGAGTGTTTTTGAAAGCGTGTCAGAATATTAAGAAGTAAAGAAGCCACACAGCTACACAAAACTCTTTTTTTTAAGGATATTGACTTTTTTTTTATTTTTTATTTTTTTTTTGGCAATAGGATCCACATCAGGCGTATCATAAAAGAGAACGCCGTGTACGAAAAGCGTTCCACCTACAGACGATGCTGCTGGTACGTGCATGCGGAAGTTCTGGCCCGTCATTCTCAGGAGGCCTTGCCCGTTCCCTGCCAGTGGACCTACCTCACCTCCGGGGCTCATGTCACCCGCGACGAGCCCACCGGCTCACAGGGCAGCTCGCCCACCATGTCCACTTCCACCACACCCTCCAACAAGAGGAAAAGTGCCAGCAGCCACTCCATCACAAAGTATATGAAGAAATGTGGCGAATCTGAACAGGTACAGACCAATTATATATACTACTGTGCAAAAGTCTTAAGGCACGTTAGTATTTACACACAGGAAAAAATCACACACAAGTATGTCAGTAGGAAATATCAGTTCACATTATCCAGGTACACTTGCACATAGTTTTCCAGATAGTTTTGCACAAAGATTTCTTCAAGTATCTTGAAAACGTTGCCACAGTTCTTATGGATTTTGTCTGTCTCAGTTTTTTCTGTTTCTTCCTGTAATCACAGACAGACTCGATGATGAGATTGGATCATACCGGCTGTTGTTAGTCTATTATTACATTTTATTATTATTATGATTCAGATTATTCCAATTAATGGCAAAAGCAATGTTTGGAAATACGAACGGATATTTCCTACTGACACCCTTGAGCAAATGATACAAAATAATAAAATAAATAAAAATAATAACATGCCTAAGACATTTAACGAACCCTACATCAGTCTTACCATTCACTTTATTGATGAGTAAACAGGATCATCGCAGAATTCACACTATACTTGTTTTACACAACTTCAGTTACATGTACATGTGTTTATTTAATAAAAAGCAACAAGTGAGAACTTGGTCTAGATTTTTTTAACTGCTTAAATTTCCACTAAACATTTTGTATTTATTTATATATATATATATATATATATAAATTGCCCAGCCCTATTAAATACCAATTTAGACCTGTCTAACTTTGGTTTAATTTTTAGACTGAAGCTATGGAGACCGATGGCTTCCAGGCCGACACTGAGGATGATGAAGACGATGATTGCGTCATCATTGGGGAGCAATCTGGTTAGTATGCGTCTCTACTAAAGCTTGACAACGAAGATAAATCTGCCAGAGCAAGCTTGAAAAATGTTTCTTCTTTATAGGATCCTCGGAACCAGACGCCAACACATCCTTACCACAAACAGAGAGAAGCACAGAGCCCATGGACACAAATGCATCCGAAACTGCTGCTCTTGCCTTGCCCTGCCTCACATCAGCCACCGCCTGAGATCTGACTCCTCCTTGTTGGGTTTACATGCACGTGAACCAGGCGCTCAAAATCTGATCTACAATTCAAAGGATCGCACAGTATTAAAGGTCCCCAGAATGAATAATTTTTTCCTCTAAGTGGAGGTCTGTTAGATGGTGTACTGCTCTTCTTCATAGGTGAAGTCCCACTTTTTGAAAGGCTGATGTATTCATCAGCTCTGACACCGATCAGAAGGTTGATGCTGTCTGCTGGGCTCAGTGCTCAGCCACATTGTTTTAAATTGTTTATTTTTTTCCTCTCTGAATACTTGAACTGGTGTATGTCTTTCAAAAATAATGACAATTGAAATATATTGCACTTTTATATTCCATTTCTGTTCATTTCATTCTTCTACCCCCACCAGAAGTCTTTCACTTGTTTTCTTTTCCGAGAGGCTTTGTATAAAAACAGCATTTGCCATTTGTTGCTCAGGCTGCTATACGCGGTGTAAATACAATTTTATTTTTTGCTTTTTGAAAAGCTGAAATAGTAGGAGGCCGTCCAACACGGGGAAAAAAGCAGCATCTTTTGGCAAAGTATTTTCATAATTGTTTCAAATAAACTGCATCATAGTTTGCAGTTGTAATGGGTTTCCTACAAAGCTTGTTTAAATAAAGCATAATTTAAAAACAAACAACTTTTAATATGCTGTTAACCAACATTTTCCTTCCACACATTTTCAAGCCAATTGATTTCTTTCATATACACTCATCTCTGACAGTACATTTTATTTCATACATTACATCAAATGCATTAATTAAACAACAAAATTGTGAGTGCAAAATACAAGCAGTCATACAAGCAAACACGGTATGTTTTTTTGCTGAAAGTAAAAATAACCAAAAATATGTCGCCCAGCCCCTTCGTGTTCAAAGTTCTGATAAATAAAATAATAATTAGTCCCTACATTGCCTTATAAGCTACCTGCAACCTGGATCATCAGGATGTGTGGCGCGTTATACACGACTGTTCCCAACAGGGACGGTGTAGAGTGCCCTCTGGTGGACAAACTATACAACTCCAACACTCATGACATGGTTCAAGCGTGTTTTGTCCGTTTTTATTTTATTTTTGAAATATTCATTTTATCGGCCATTATAACTACAGATACCGAGAGTTTGGAAAATGCCGATATCGTCCTGCCGATAAATCGGTCGGGCTCTATAATAAACTGATATATTTAAAATAGGGCTATTTTCTGTCCAGTTTTTGCCACTTTTAACTGAAGGGGTTATTTTATTGGCTTCTAGTTTTTAAATTCAGATTCAGTAAAATGACTGCATTTAATTAAAAAGTATAACAATACAAAAAATTTATTTAAAATAAGAAAATGACATTTTTATGCAATCTTCGGCAAAGTGCATCCAGAATTTTAGGTTTCGGCGTAGATTTTTTTTATTTCGGTGCATCCCTATCAGTGAGCATTATTGCATATAGCATTAGAGCATAATCTTATTGTAGATTACACTAACACCCAAAGCACCCACTTCATTTTTTTTTTTTTTTTGTAAGAGCTGGTGCATTTTTACTGTAATCATAAACACTGGTTTGTAGCAAAAATGTTATCCTTTACTGTTATTCTTCTACCTGCCTATTAAGGCTTAAAGAATCGTCTTCAATATTCAGTTAATAGCTTACTTCTGGGTTGAAAATGAGGGGGATTTTTGATGTGAACAGCCTTTCAAAGTACATTTTATTGGATTGCGTGTGCTAACACATGCTTCACACAAGACACACTAGAAAAATTCATCCTTGTCCAGTGTCTGCATTATATATATAGTTTATGAGTCATAAATAATGTAATATTCATTTAAACTACAGTTGCGCATATCTTAACCTCGGACAAGCTTGTCAATTACAAAAAGAGTTTCCTTTCAACGGTGACATCATGGTCAGCACCTTGTGGACAAACTCCTTGCAAAAAATGACATGTGCAAAGGGAACGCATAGTACAAACAATTAAGGGGGAAACCATCAAACATGCTGCATGTGTAAAAACAAGAATACTTTGGGCTTAATTATACAAGTCATGACATGGTGACATTTATCAGACATTTATCTCTATTAGGAGGTAGATCATTGTTGCAGACCACAGCTTTTTGTCTAATTTAAGTTCCGTTAAAACATTCAGGCGTAGTCACATTTTTGTTAAGCAGGAAACAACTTCAATTCATCACAAAAGACAATCTGAACTTGGTAGTGCTCATGTTAGATCAATTTCAAACCGTTGTCGATGAGATTTTATGGAACATTAATCATTTCTTTCTAAGCAATGGCTAAAAAGTGCACAGATTCCGTTATCATATGATGACTGGTCATGTTACTTCACGCAACAATGCATTATAATAGGACAGACTGTTTAGAAATTGCCCCTTAAGGTGCTAACACTTCCCATAATATATCACTGACAGGAAACAACTCCAGTTGTTAGCACCATATAAATCCACCTAGCACATGTTGTGGACTCAACCAAACCTATGGAGGTGTGGGCGATGGGAGAGAAAAATCACTAAGAGTGGCAAGAGAACGCAGGCGGGACAGCAGCGACCAGGGAGACTAAATGTTCAGCTCATGCTCTTGATGTTTTCCAATAATGCTGCTTTAAGCAGAACAGCAGTCTTTCCTCCCGCGGCGGCGATGTCTGAAAGCACTGCGGCGTCCCACGAGAAAATCAACAGAGCTGCTGGGGCCTGGAAGGTGAAAACAAATGCGTGACTCAATCATTGTTTAGTAAATTCAACTTTGCAGACAGCGTTCTTTGATCTGCACCTACCAGGTTGCACTCGTTCAGAGCAAGCGTGTCGTCGTCCTTGAGTTTTTGTCCTCCAGGAGCCACCAGCTCAAAGGGCTGCCAGCCGTTCTCCAGCGAATCTCGCACAAACTGGTACAACGCTGTCACTTTCTCCCATGCCAGGAACGTGCCTGCAGGGCGTTTAAATGCAAATTACAACAAAAGCCTTCAGTTGGCCAAAAAAAGCTTAGTAAATCAAGAACTATGCGCGTGACGTCACCGTCGGCCGGAGTGCCTGCAGTTACTCACAGTGAGTGGCAAAAAGACTGAGCGGCTGTATTTGTTATTAGTGTGAATGCCGCGAAAAAGAAACCCAACACACATAAAGTGGGAAAGAGCTTTGCGATTGACTGTACAACTATTGTATAACTATTTTTTATTGTTATACAGTATATATTAACAACTCATCAATTAAATATTTATCATTGCATATTCTGCATTATTGGATGTTTTTTAATAAACACTGACCCAAAAAAACACTATAAAGTTTTAGGGCTGGTCGATATGATGATATATTTAGGCTATATATAACACTGTGATCACCCAGATTTAGACCTATATATTGTATTTATATAAAGCGCCGTTCAGGCAAATTTGCTTTATGTTTAGGTCTATATTGCTTTTATTTCCCCGTTGTCGAAATCAGGCAAACATAAATGTCAGGCGACACAATTCCTGGCTGCATGTCGATATCCACGGATCACTACTAAGGATCTTTAGTAAGTTGTAAGGAACACTATATTGAGTCCAACATTTAGTTTAAATTGATAAAACTGTTAGTTTTAGTCGTATTTCCGCAGTTTCCCCTATAGAGTGCCGAAGTGATGACGTCACTTTGTAGGACAACTCGGAAGCTAGCGGCGCATGGGTTCCCTCAGTTGAAATGCAGTGCATTTTCCCCATAGACTTTTGGAAAAATCGCAAAAAATAAGATCTGTGTTCAACAAAGTGTTGTGACCCTTACACGTCTTGTCTAACAAGTTAATCCAAAATGTATACATTTTGAAGCCTATGTAAAGATTTTAAAAAACACAAATCAGACACAATAAAGTTTAAAAAAAAACACAAGCAGGTTATAACTGTGTTCCATGTCATAGATCAAAACGTGAAAATTAACCCATTCAATTCAATGGGCAAAAACCCATTCAAAAATCCCATAGGCTTTAGAGCGAGGGAACCGGTAGTGCTAAAATGCTAACTCACTTCCGCGTTGTGGCCCACAGAGTGACGTCGTAACTTCGGCACTCTATTAAATACACTCACGCAGCAGATCTTTTGCCACTCGGTTGTTCCGGCGGGAAAGTGACGTCAATGCGTTCCCTCTATAGACTATTCTAATTTAGAGTCACTACCAACCCTGGAGTATATTTCCATCCGGTAACCGCACTCTCAGAAGAGCGTAGTTGTACTTTCTCCTCTCTCTCTGCTCATCTTTTTCACGCATGGCTTTCGTTCGCAGCATTGCGTTTCTCTCCACGATTTCATTCCTGTGATGAAAGGAGATCATAAAAACATGGTAAGAGTCTCTTTATCAGCTTAGCATGAACACTACTGTTGTTGATTTCTTTACTTGAGCTGCATTTCTTTCTTCAGTTCCTCTGGAGTCAGATTGTAGAAGTCTGGGGGCAACTCAAAGTTCGTGGCGTTCTGAGAGGGTCTGAAGACCTGCGGTTGGCGGTCCAGCTTCGCTCTGATTGGCTCGCCCTTCTGCAGCAGCTCCAAATCCACCTTTATCTGCTCCAGAGCGTCCGGTTCCTGCGGCGGCAACACCAGGTACTCCTCAGTCCTATCTGAGATATGTTATTCAGTGAGGGATTGGCGTTAAAGAAATGACACACTCGTCTTTGAGATATAAAGGCATTACCTTCGCCGTCTACCGGCAGCGCGGTGCTTTCAAATCCCAGGGCCTGAAGATACTCACGAGATCCTTCAATCACACTGACCTTCTCCTTCACGAGTAAAACACCAAGATGTGAGTGAACGTGCTTTATGAGTTCAGTTCTCTCTATCCTGACTGAAAACCATCATACCTGAAACACCTTGTTGCTAAGTTTGATCTTCCGATACTTCTCCTCAGTCGGATTCTTACAGATGTTTTCGATGTACCTGTCATTGGATTTCAGTCGTACATTTTACAAACACACCGAGATATTGTAGTTTTAAGTTAGTCCTACAACTAAACAGTCCTCACTTGCTAATGATGTCAATGGCAGCCTTCACTTTCTCTTTGTCTTTATTAAAGGTGTGAATCATCATAATGGAGGCCTCCATCACATCCTCTGAGAACCTCTGTGGAAAAAAGCAGCACCTTTACTTAAATCCACATGTAATTTCTTGAAGTCTTGCAGATTGTCTAATAATCTCACCATAAGAATGGCTTCCTTGATGTGCATCTCTCTTTCGGTCTTTGTTAAGATTTTTCCAGTAAGAGGGCAGATGAAGAAAACTCCCGCCACTGAGAAACAAGACGGATCCTTCTGTGGAACCCTGGAGGCCTGGGAAAGGTATTAAAGATCACGGTCAGGAAAGAGTTTGAATCTTAAAGGGGCAGGGCACCTAAAAATGACAATTCTGTCATAATTTATACTACACAAAAAGTACTAACACAATTTACATGAGATTTAAAGTCCCCATGAATTCAAAATTGACCATACTTACTTACTTTGCCTAAATTGGTCATTTTGTGGTGAACAATTCATCCATGTAATTTTTTAATACACAAAGGAAGATATTTGGAAGAATGTTTTAATCAAACAGATCTCAATCCCCATTGACTACCATAGTATGTATTTTTTCCTACTATGGTAGTCAATGGGGATTGAGATCTGTTTGATTAAAACATTCTTCCAAATATCTTCCTTTTTGTTCAGCAGAACAAATAAACACATACTTGAGGGTGAGTAAATACTGACAGAATTTTCATTTTTGGGTGAACTATCCCTTTAACATAAAGAGTAGTAGGTCATCCAGATATTTCTCAAAACCCAATTAAACCATCGGACTTGCCTCGACATCTGTGTTCTTCTGACTGGCCGCTATGGCAGCCGCCTCTGCTTCAAGTTCTCGCTTTACTGAAATGCAATAACAAAACGAGTGGCTGTTCATGCTTTGAGATTGATCAATTCTATGGAAGCTGGTTTCCACCACGGAATACAATATAAAAAAGTAATTGCAACTTTTTAGCTTACAATTCAAACTTCTAACTCAAAACTAACTTCGGTTGTTTATATCTCACAATTCTGAGAAAAAGATGTAGGTGCTACATATGAACTTGAATTTAATTTGCGACTCTTCAAAAAAGTATGTTCTGTGTATAAATGTGTGTAGTATGAATTCAATACGCCATGTTGTTATTGTCATGTGACCTAGCATCAGTTCACTGACATTCATAAATCCTAAAGTAAAGTGTCCATCACATGCACACTTCAGAATCCCGCCAGTAGTAGTAGGCCATCCAGGTACATATTCCCAACTGTTTTTCGAATACTATGAATCCAGACATAAGGTGCATCCCAATTTGCGTACTTATGCACTATTCTATGACGTTTTATAGTATGAATAATGTGAGGCTTTCAGTCTTTGATATTGAATGACAAATAAATAACATTGTAAAGTTCATTGACTACACAAATGAGTACATAGTGCACAAGTGCATAGAGTATAAGTGTAGAGTGCGCCATTTGGGACTCAACTATACTACTCTTTTAGTGTACTGTTTTTGGCATACTATATATTATATGGATTTTGGATGCAGCGATAAACAATTCTGACTTTTTCTTGCAATTGCAAGTTTATAATGCATAAATGCACTTTTTTCTCATGATTGTGAGGTATAAACTCGGAATTAAAAGATAATTTACTAGCAAGACTTTTTTTTTTTTTGAATAAAACACAGAATCGTGAGTGTATATATCACAATTCAGCCTTAATAATTCTAAGTACGAGAGTGTGAGTTTATATATCGCAATTCTGACTGATAATTGGGAAATATAAACTGCGAATTAATTTAGGAGTGTCTGCTCATGGCTGGAGTGTGCCCAGCCATTTGTAGTAGTGCCCAAAACCATAGTGGGCGTTATCGAGTGCACTCATTCAATCCCAGAATGCACAGCAATAACGAGTGTACAACCGATGTACGCTCAATGGCTAAAGAATACCCATAATGCACTGTGAGAGACTTGAACTGAATAAATTCCCGTGATGGAGCCTACAGCTTAATCATCCATCCATTACCCAAACCGCTGGTCCAATGTGGGTATAGTGTAATATCATACAGGTATAAATTCCTTTTGAATTGATCATTAAATTGTCAAAAACAAACTATGCAAAAGCGGCAGCCCTTCTGGCGCACTCAGAGTCCGAATTCACACATTAGTTTTCATTCACTACCTCAAGTGAACTATATTAGAGGAGTATTGTAGGGAATAGTTAATGCGATTTTGAACACAGCCTAGATGTAATTTTGGCATAATGGGTGTAGAAGGTCTAACCACACCCTAACCCTATCCCTCCACCCCTTAGATCCACAGAGGTGGAGCTGGACTAGGTCAAGCTCAACCTATGACGTCCAGAAAGGGGGAGCTGGACGTCATTTGGCTCTGCAAGAAGCACCACTTGGAATTTTAGAGAAAAAAAAGTCAGAATTGTGAGAAGCGAGAAGGATAAAATCCGAATTGTCCGATTAAAGTTGCAATTTCCCTTTTTATTCCGTGGCGAACAACAAGCTTTCATAGACTTCTGAGTGGAAAAGCTGTAGTTATACACTTGATGTACCCTGATTCCTTATGGCGTCCTGTGAGGTTTGCACTTTCGGCCGGTGCTGCTGCTCGATGCGGGCGAGGGCTGCGGCCCCTGCCATCTGTGCGCCTTTATTGGGAGCTTTCCTGGACGCTCCTTTACTCTGGGCAGCCTGCGAGGCTTCAGGTCGAGAACTGCACGAAACACCAGGTGTCACCAACTCGTTTCTGTGGTTAAAACGGTTGTTGTAACCAAAAACATCACTAAAGCAGCAGCAGTGTTAAGGTGTAAATCACTCCCACGTGACCTTTACTAAGCCTGTTACCCTATGAGTAATTATAGCGATAAGGTTAAACTCATAAGTCGGATCCAAAACTATTCAAACATTGATGCATTGAGTACATGCTGTTTACTAACCTACCATATCCAGATATGATCATGTTAGAAATGCAGTCAGGCACAAATCCATACATATGTCTGTTATACATTAGATTTTGTGTAAAAAATTGCTTGCTCTTTACAGAATTGTTGTAACAATTATTATCAATAAGAAACCTTGTTATTCGATGCATCATCGTAGTCTGATTATATAATCTCATGATAAGTGTGGTTCAGAGCTGTTGTGATGACAGATAACATGTACTTTTTTACCTCGAGTCTTCTGTGAGTTTCTTTCCTGGCCCAGCTGACTTGAACTTTATATCCTTCTTGATGTCCTCGAAAAACTTCTTCATTCTTAGCGATAAACTATATGCAACAGTACTGAAATGAAAAAAAAAATGTTGTTATTAATTATTTATAACTGTAAGGCACACCACCGCCCAGAGCGATGTGTTTACCATAGACCGTAAAAGGTGTTTACAACGGGAAAAAGACCTTTTCTGAACCGGAAATGTGGTCATGACTCATGAAACAATCGGGACATAAACATTGAGTTTTAGTGACATCAAGTGGAGGGGAGTGAAGTTACATTGAAGGAGATCCGTTATGGGTTGTTTATTTAATTATTTTTATTTTAAACACATTTTGTTTGTTTTCTTTTTTTATTTTAGATATAGACCAGTTTTGAGTGCATTTACCCCGCCTTAAAATTTGAAACATAATTATAAAGTCTTTGAAACAAACCTTTTGCAAGTTAATATTTTCTGTTGAGTAATATTCCATTAGCTATATTTTCTATATTTGACAACCAACTGCAAGGGTGAGTATGTGCGATAAGATTTTAAATAATAATAATAATAATAATAATAATAATATATGCGATAAGAATTTATTTATATAATATTATGTGCGATAGGCCCAAATATTTCTTCCTCAAGACTCCTCAAATTGTTGTACATTCCTTACAATTATCATTCTTATTTTTAGTAGATGAAATATAGTAGTAATTCATTAAAGTCAATTGAGTAAAATATTTTTAAATGCAAATAGATTAATAAAAGTGCCATTACATTACATTGAATGGATATACAGATGTTGTTTTTAAGAAGGTATAACATTATTTTGTTTAGCTCCTACTTTAATTTCCAACCGTCGTTTTATAATCAACAGTGCGAATGTTAATATAACACTATTACATTGAAGTCTTTAGCGGTGTACACATTGTACATTTTTATTGGTGGACGTAAAGAGTGCAAGTCCATTCCTCCAATCAGCGATCGCCAGAGGGCGGAACTTCCGCTGGCAAAAAAAAAAAATGGAATGAGCGGAAACCGCTGCAGAAACCAACCGCCTTTCCTCACCTACTGTATCTGAGCCAGGACTGTCTGTGTCGGCCTGGAAAACGGACCGCAGGCGAACACAAACAAGCAGAACGAGGAGCGGTGCATAGAGGGACGACAAGATGCCGCACAACTTCCGGCCCGGGGATCTTGTCTTTGCTAAAATGAAGGGATATCCCCACTGGCCGGCCCGGGTAAGAGGAGCGGGGGAGCTCGCGCAAGGCTCGCGCTGCATCCAGTGCACACACCCCCCCACCAGCTTTACCTCAGTGCCTGGTCGTTTACGAAATATATGTTTACAGAGAAACCCGTGCTATCCATTACTCTAAAGTCTAGGCATCTTAATAGATGTATTTGTTTCATATTTATTAACGTTACCTTATTCATAAATGTATGAGGCTAGCTGGCTGGCTAACTTGTTTGCTGGAGAAGCAGCTAAGGTCGCGTGAACCAAGTCCTGTTTATTTTTTTGCATATTCTTTGGGAATCGTCTTTAGATGCATAATGGAATAATATCAATAATTACTTCCTTTAGACTTTTACATTGTATTTGCATTGCCCAATCACATGTAAAATGTAATCTGTGGGGGTGGGGAGAGTTGAGTGTCCAGTTTACCTATGGACATTCTGTCCTGTCCATATTTAAAGTGAGCCACTCGGTGAAAAAAAGTAAACCCATTTATAAATTAGTGTTTAATTCTGTAGAACTTCAATTTTCAATGTCTATTGCTGAAAAACATGAGATCACCTTATTGTAATATTTGAACTGTATTTTTCTTTCAGATTGAAGATGTTGCGGAAGGAGCTGTTAAACCACCTCCTAATAAGATCCCCATTTTTTTCTTCGGGACTCACGAAACGTACGTAAACCAAGATGTGAACGAGATCCTGGTCATTAATGATGGTAAATAGAGGTGCCTAAGTTCCTGGAGATCTGCAAAGTTCAGCTCAAACACAACTGAACGAGCTGATTAAGATATTCAGGATCTTCTTGATAATTACATGCAAGTGTGTTGGATGAGTGTTGAATCTGATCTCCAGGAACAGGATTGGGTACCCCTGGTTTAGATCTTCTTATGAACTGTGTGCATTACGACATTGTTTTCTCTTTATTCCTTTTATTAATGTTGATTTATAATTGTGGCGCTTTTAGTATGGTGGGACCTTGCCTGTCGAAACTGCCTTGAAGTAACACATTAAATTCATCTGACCCCACAAGTCAACAGGTGGCACTAGAAGAACTTTTCTAGAACGTTTTAGATGTCACTCCAGGGGATCAGACCTCATCTGGTTTCCTTTTATACATGAAAGTTGGCATGAAATGAAAATACTAACTATTGTATAGACCATTTCACAAGATGTAAACAACACTGGTCCAGAAAAACTTCCTGTTTCAGTTTGTAACCGTTTTCTTTATTTCACATGTAAAGAAAACATCTTAAAGATGTTTGTTTAACTTTTTGATTCAGTTTTATATGTTCTGTTGGTTGTATTTTATCCCAGCTTTTATGTAGTGTTAAAAAACTGAAACAGGAAGTGCTTCTGGACCAGTGTTGTTTACATCTTGTGAAATGGTCTATACATGCACTTAGGCTGGTCTTATTGTAAAACTGCCCATCTGTGCATATATTTTTTTTTAACGTTTTGACCTTCATTTAATCAAAATGCCATAACATTTCAAATGCCTTCCAGTAAAATTACAGTCTTCTCTCTGGTGACAAATGGAGGATTCTTCAATCCTTTAACTCATGCATGCTTACATTCATCTGCGCCCCACCCTACATATTTGTTTTTCCGAAAATCTGTTACACTCGGGATTTTCATTGTGACTTTAAATGTATTTATAATTCTGATTTTTTTCAGGGCATTCCTTGCACCTAAGGACCTTTTTGCGTATGACAAGAACCAAGACCGATATGGGAAGCCCAACAAAAGGAAAGGCTTCAATGAAGGCTTGTGGGAAATCCAAAACAACCCTCATGCCTCCTATACTACACCTGCAGTAAGACTTCATTTCTACAATCAAAATCTGTTGTTTCAAGACACCAAATGCTGATTTTGTCACATTTACCTTGTGTTTGTTTAGGCTGCATCATCATCGGAAAGCGAGGACAACCAACCTGCTGCGGGAAGTGATGCAGAAGATGAAGAGGAAGCAGTGGTACCAAGGAAAGCTGAAACGGGAAGTGATGATTCTGACTCTGGGAGTGAGGATCAAAGGAAACCGGCAGTGAAGCGGAAAGCTCCTGCTGCAAAGGTATTCAAACGTAAAACACGATCACTTATTGTATAAATCAGCAGTTTAGCCTCATTGTCATCATTTTTTTTTTCCCATAATACCTTCAGGTGCATTGAGTTTCTCCTTAAAGGGTTAGTTCACCCAAAAATGAAAATTCTGTCAGTATTTACTCACCCTCATGTTGTTCCAAGCCTCTTTGTGTTTGTTTGTTCTGCTGAACACAAAGCAAGATATTTGGAAGAATGTTTTAATCAAACAGATCTCATTCCCCATTGACTACCATAGTATGTATTTTTCCTACTATGGTAGTCAATGGGGAATGAGATCTGTTTGATTAAAACATTCTTCCAAATATCTTCCTTTGTGTTCAGCAGAACAAACAAACACAAAGAGGCTTGGAACAACAAGAAGGTGAGTAAATACTGACAGAATTTTCATTTTTGGGTGAATTAACCCTTTAATGTCATAGTTTTAGTTAGTCACAATCTTTATAATGTTAAATATAAGAGTGTTTGTTGAGGAATCCGTGTTTTACAACTAGTTTTTATTTAAGCATTAAAGTTTTTCTATGTTATGGCGCTAGGGTTTGCGTACAGTGCTTGTGGCATAATTTTGTCATCAGCATTGTACGCACACACTGCACGCGTACTGCTTGTTTTTTAACATGGCATGTGCGCTTCAAATTATTTTGCACTAATTAGTTTGTCCACTAAGGGGTGACACTGGCTCGGCCCGTTGTTTCATAAACGAGACGGATGAAATTGAACCACAACAAAAAACTGCCGGAGACACAACAACAATAGACACGCACATTGTGTCACGGGGTTAATAAATACATGCAACTCTAGTTTAAGAGCTTATTAGCATAAGTTTTCACTGATCAGATGAGACCAATAATTGTAATTACATGGACCAAATGTATAAAAAACAGTTAAATGGATGTTTGACTTTGCAGCGGCCACCAGTGAAGAGAACACGGGCATCATCCAGTGATCGAGATGTAGAGGAGAGTGGATCTCCCTCGGAACCGGAACCATCACCCAGCTCTGACTCTGAATCCGGCAAAAACAGCGACCAGGTATTCTTGTCTGGAATTATACTGGGTCGATAATTTGCTCAAACACCTCATGGCTTTATTATTGGCTATTAAAATTGTATTAATTAGTTACTAATGTGTTCTCCAGGACTTTACACCGCAGAAGGATTCGGGCGGTCGAGGTGGCAAAAAGCCAGCTGGCAGAGGCAGGAGGAAGGTGAGAAGACCTCAGTGACCTTGGCAGTCTATAATTACATACTTGCTTAATGTTATACTGTTTTCGTATCCTCTTAGAAGGCATCATCAGGCTCTGATTCAGACTCCGGCTCCCAGTCAGATCAGAAAGCTGCCAAGAGCGAATCAGAAGATGATAAGCCACGGCCGGCCGTCTCTGGATCCGAATCGCAGTCTGGATCCAAATCCGATTCAGATTCAGAACCTCCTCCTCCTCCTCCAAGGAAAGCCCCTCAAGGGCGCAAGAAAGGTGAGAACGCTTTGCAACGTGAACCCTGCATGTATTATAATTAGTTTTAATGGTTGAGTAATTGTGTTGAATACCAAGTGGATGGAAACAACATTACCTGAGACGGTTCTCCTCGACACTCGAATATCAGGAATCCTAGACAAGTACATCAGAATACTAAAGGACACTTTTCTTTTTGCGTCATTTTCCAAGCGGAGAAACCTCCACCAAAGCCACGTGGAAGGAAAGCCAAACCAGCTCCAGAAAGGCCTCCTTCCTCTTCATCAGATAGTGATAGGTAAGTTTGGTTTCTTTCCTTTCTTGCATTTTTTACATGTTAATACTTTTGTTTTGCCTTAATTTCTTCAATATGACAATTTTCCACCCTCTTTCGGACCTTTAATGTCTGTTCACGCTAACATGAA